CTCGCAGACTTAGTCATCTCCACCAGATCCTCGTCAGTTAAGGACACCTGTTCTGGATGATACTCGCCCTCCTCAAGGATCTTCTGGAACGTGTTGTTCACACAGTCCTCTGCTGACCAGCAGAGGCAGCTTCTCCGGGGAAAATGACACTCTTCGAATGATACCTCTTCTGGAACTTCTCAAACTAACCCTTGCTTGCCGTGAAATCCATGAACACTGCAGAAGAGGATCCTGGTTGAGGTTCGTCTGCTGTAAAGCACGGATAGAGCTGCCTTGCCTTCTCCCATATGACCAGTGAATCCAACGAAATGTTTTTCTTATGGCTGTCACTGATCCAAATGGCTAGGTCAGACTCTGTTTTCACTATGAACTTACTACGACTTGTCACGACACACTTTGTTTCCTTGTTGAAAGATACAGTAAACGTTGCATGGTTGTTCTTTTCATCTTTGTGGATGGAAAGAACGGTGGACTCATTCAAGTCGTAATGGTGGGCAACCTCCTTGATGTTCTTGCCATCTTTCATCATATCCAAGTTTCACCTTCTCCTGGATGGTAAGCATCTTCCTCCGGTGCTTAGTTTCACCATCAGAAGGCTTAGAAGCAGCAGCACGTTTAGGAGCCATTGTGGGGCTTAGATAAAAGTTCTCAGAAATCGCAAACACTTACAAGAGCAAAGATGCTTCTGATGCGTATCGATGTAGAAGTGTGTATGAGAGAAACAAACTGCATGAGGCTGAGCCAATCAGTGGCCAGGATAGGAAGAGGATAAGATAGCCAATCAGTGAACAGCACACTGATTGGCTTGGTTTCACCCCACCCGATTTTTTGGAAAAAAGTTATTTCCCACACACAAGGAGTGGTCGAGCGTTTGCACCTGGCATTGAAGGATTTGTGGGGTTGCTCGAATATATAAGCCTACAGTCCATACGTACAATAATTTAAATTTTAATTATCGTACAGGGGTGTATAATTGACTCAGACAACCGAGCACGTGCTGTATCATTTTCACTGTCTCGATCAACTTTTTAATGAATATATTTGAGAAAAACTGCGATAGAGTGAAGCTGCAAAAGTCAAAGCACAAAGTGGCGAGGGACAATTGTATTGGCACAAGAACAGGCATCTAGAGCAATGGAACAGGCATCTAGATCAATGGAACAGAATAGAGAACTCATAAATAGACGTAAGACTATTTGACAAAGGTGGCAAGAGCATACAATGGAGTATAGACAGCATCTTTAATAAAAGGTGCTGGGAAAATTGGACGGCTACATGCAAAAAAATGAAACTACACCACCAACTTATACCATACACAAAAATAAACTCAAAATAGATAAAATACTTAAATGTCACTTGTGAAACCATAAAAATCCTAGAAAAAATGTAGGTAGCAAAATCTCAGATATCACACACAGCAGACTTTTCACTGATCATCGCCTAAGGCAAGAGAAACAAAGGAAAAAATTAATAAAAGGGACTATATCAAACTAAAAAGCTTCTATACAGCAAAGGAAACAAGCATTAAAATGGAAAGGGAACCCACTGTATGGGAGAACATAATCGCCAATGATATATCAGATAATGGGTTAATACCCAAAATATTTAGAGTACTCATACAACTCAAGAAAAGGAAGACAAAGAATCCAATTACAAAATGGGCGAAGGACCTAAATAGACACTTCTCCAAACAGGACATACAAATTGCCAAGGGACATGAAAAAATGCTCAATGTCACTAATCATCAGAGAGATGCAAATTAAAACGATTATGAGATATCATCTCACACCGGCCAGAATGGCTGCCATCAACAAATCATCAAACAAGTGCTGGCAAGGGTGTGGAGAAAAAGGGACTCTAGTACACTGCTGGTGGGAATGCAGACTGGTGCAGCCACTATGGAAAACACTATGGAGTTTCCTCAAAAAATTAAAAATTGAACTGCCATTTGACCCAATGATCCCACTTCTAGGAATATATCCTAAGAAGCCTGAAACACCAATCAGAAAGAATATATGCACCCCTATGTTCATAGCAGCACTATTTACAATAGTTAAGATCTAGAAACAGCCCAAGTGCTTATCAGTAGATGAGTGGACAAAAAAAGCTGTGGAACATATACACAATGGAATACTATGCAACTGTAAGGAAGAAAGATCTCTTATCCTTTGAGATGTCATGGAGGGGCCCAGAGAGTATTATGCTAAGCGAAATAAACCAATCAGAGAAAGACAAATATCACATGATCTCACTTATTTGTGGAATGTAACGAACAAAATAAGCTGATAAACAAAACAGACGCAGAGACATGGAACTAGGGGTCAGCTTTGAAAATTCGGGGGGGGGGGGGGCGGTTTGAGCAGGGAGAACCAAAGAACTTATATGCATAACCAACAGACACAGACAACAATCAGGTGAGAAGGGTCGGGAAGGGTTGGGGAGGAGGGAGTCAATAGAAGAATAAGAAATATCTGTAACAAAATTTAACTAATGTTTTAAAAAGGCAGGAACCACCCTGGCTGGTTTGGCCCAGCGGTTCAGAGTGTCTGCCCTCAGACTGAAGGGTCCTGGGTTCGATTCCTGGTCAAGGGCACTACCTTGGTTGCAGGTTTGATCCCCACCCTGGATGGGCCCATGAGGGAGGCAACTAATGAATGTGTCTCTGTCATATCAATGTTTGTTTCTCTCTCTCTCCCTACCTTCCACTCTATCTAAAAATCAGTGCAAAGATATCCTCGGGTGAGGATTCACAAAAATAAAATAAAAATAAAAACGCAGGACCCATTTAAGCCTCTCAACAGCCTTAGGAAGTAAATATTCAACATTCCATTTTGCAGATGAAACTGAGTCTAAGGGGCCGAATTACCTTCCTACTGTCATATAATTTACCTACAGGACAACACATTTCATCCTAAATAGCTACCCCCCTCAGTGACAGGAATAACCTTCATCTACATATCAGTACTGGCACCTTAGTTCCCAAGTACCCTTCTATCCAAACACTTTAAACAAGCTTTTTCAAGGATGGGGGTTTGTGCCAGGTAAAAAGCAAGCAACAAGTAATTTAAGCACTTTGAGGGACAGAATCTTATGTGATGGTCACAGATTTGGGGCCTAGGGGAACCAAGCCCCAAAGACAAACCATAGATTTCAAAACAATGTACAGGGCTGGCTCTTGCTCCAGAACAGTTAGCCTTGCTCCTCTTCCTACATTCCACGTGACCCTCGAGGTTCCCCTCCACACCAGTAAATAGGCAACCATTGTCAGTGACACACTGTGGCAATATTATGTGTCCCAACCACAGTGACTGGCAAAGACAAGGCACACAAATATTTACAGAATGAACCAAAGACCAAGGCTGTTTTCATAGCAAACTGGGACCGCTGTTTTTAACAAAGTGGAGATGAGAAAACACCTTAAGCACGTGATTATTAGTGTAAAAGTGGACTTTTAAAAGGCCGTTTAAACTGGGGACTGACTACAATGAAAGCCTTAGGTGATTTTTTTTTTCCTCAGCCAGACTGCCTCAAAGAAGAAAACATACAGAGACCTCAAAAGGGGCATGTTTGCATATGCTAGAGTATATAATAAACACCATTAACTTTATTTAGGATGCCTAGTTTAGGTCATCTTAACAGGAAGAGCAGCTTAAAAAAATAAAAACAAAAAACCCCACTCAGCATTCTCAGAGTGAGAATGGGGGTGGAGAAAATAGCAGACATTTCCCCAAAAGTTTAGTGGGCCAAAAAAACAAACCACCACAAAGAATCATACTCCACAGTGTGGAAAAAGTTTCCTTTAAAACACAACCAGTAGCCCTGGTCGGTTTGGTTCAGCGATACAGCTTAGACCCTGGACCACTGTGTCAAGAAAGAGCAAGTACCTTGGTTGTGGTTTGCCCCAGGCCATAGTGGGTGGGGTCTGCGGGAGGCAACCAATCTATGTGTCCCTCTCATGTCGATGTTTCACTTTCTCTCTCTCCCTCCCACTCTATCTGAAGATAAATGGAAAAACTATCCTCAGGTGAGGATTAAAAAAATAAATAAATAAAATGCCCTGGCGGGTTTGGCTCAGCGGTTAGAGTGTCGGCCTGCGGTCTGGAGAGACCCGGGTTCGGTTCCCACTAAGGGCACGTACTTCGGTTGCAGTTTGTCCCCGGCCCTGGTTGGTTGTGTGGGTGGCAGCCACTCGATGTGTCTCTTCGTGTCGATGTTTCTCTCACTCTCTCTCTCTTCCTCTCTCTCTCTCTCCCTCCCACTCTATCTGTACAAAAAATGGAAAAATATCCTCGGGTGAGGATAAAAGAAATAATAAATAAATAAATAAATAAAACACAATCAGTGATTTCTACAAACATGCTTTATGCCAAGTAATTAAACAGGGCCCATGTTTATGCTTAAGAGAGGATGAGCTAAATGGCTCCAAAGATAATTCTGGAAATTTTTACCCATTTCCCCTTTGGCCGGCACCCCTGACCTGAAGGCTTAGCTATCAGATTTTCTCCATCTGAGATTTTTTGGGGTCAAATTAAAGTAAAACTACTAGGGCATAAACTAGAGCCAAAAGCAACAGGAACGATGTGCATTTTCCTCTTCCATTCCTCCCGCCCCCACTTGCCACTTAAGAAAAACCGCACGTTTTTACGTAAGGATAGGGCCTCATCCTTTGAGGCGCAATGCAGCGTCAAGTCTGATTCGGGCAGGTTAAGACCTCCCCTCTAACTGAGTTTTGCGCTCCTCCACCTCCGCCTTGGTTTGAGCGGTCCCTACGAACTCGCAGTCCAGTGTCCTCCCGTAAACAAGCCGCCTACCCGCAGCACTGGAACGCTCCCCCAGTCTTTAGAACAGGAAAACCCAACGACGCTCAGAGTCTCCTTCCGAGGAGCTACCAGGCCCGGGTGCGCGCGACCCAGACCTTGCCCGGGGCCGCCGACTGAGCGGCGCTTGAGGCCCGGAGGCGTGGGGTGGGGATCCCCGTCCACCCCGTGCCCGGCACTCACCTCCGTGGATGGGCAGCGGCGCCAGTACCTGGCCGCGGACCTCAGCCTTGGGCGAGTCGAGCCCGTAGCGCCCGCGGTCGATGCGGAACGTGAGCGGGGTGCCGCGGCCGGGCTCCTGCACGGTCACGTTGATGAGCGCCGTGTAGTACTCCTGACTTGCGTTGTCTGCCCGCGCCGACCAGAGGCTGCAGGTCAGCAGCGTGAGTGCGGCGAGCCGGGCCGGGCCCGTCCGCGCCGCACTGCTCATCGTCCCTCCGGCCACAGCCGCCGTTCGCGGACCTGGCTCTCGGACCACCTCCGAGAGGCGGGGCGGGTGCGCCCAGCGCTGCGGCGGGAGCGCGCGCGCGCGACCGGTGCGCGGCCGTGCCCAAGCACGGTTTTCTTCGGCGTCGCAGTCTCGCTGCTCGCCGCTCTCCCGCCCGCCGCCCGACCGCGGGGACGCGCCCATGGGCCCTTAGACGAGAATGGTGGTTCAGGCCGCGTGCGGTCGTCTACTCGGGGCCCCTCCAGGGCTGTAGGGTCAGGCCCCTTCCATCCTCTAGGACCGGACCCACCGAGTGGGGAGCACCTCGCAAGGCCGCGGAAGTGGGATGCGCCGAAAGGAGGGTCTGTGGAGCACAAAGGACCGCTTGCCCAGCTGCCGTCCCCTACCTCCACTCCCCGTAGGCCGAGCAGCAGCGCGCAGGTCTGGGCACAGCTCCTCCCCGCGCGCCTGCGTGCCAGGCCCTGTCTGCACGCCTGCACGAGGGCCAGAGCTGGTCAAGTCACTTGTTCGCCCCCCACAGGGCTCTATATTCTACCTGTGTGATGGAAACTTAGAAGAGCCTATGGGAAAGTTTGAGATGAGAATACAAAAGAAAAACAGCTAACACTTTGCAATTAATTTTAAAATTAAATGTCTGAGACTTCAACTTTGGGTCATATCGGTGACATCATGGGGGGGGGGCGTTTTCTGTAAATAAGAGTATCTGGAGTCCACGAGCTTGGAACTGTGAGGACACCCAAGTGGTTAGGAAGGATTTCTACGGACTAGATGAAACCTCCAGATTCCCTGGACAAGAAGGAGATGGTGGTGACCACCCCTACCACTCCCCCAAAACCCTCACACACCCACACTCCCCAAGCTACACACACCCACACACCGCGTCAGTGAAGCTAGGTACTCTTTTAACGCCCCAACGAAGGGGAAGGATGGTTCAGGTGCGGCTGAATTTAGGGGTTTATAGGATATTGGGCCTTGTCCCCTTTATTACTCAGAGGTCTTTGGGTCTGTATCTCCTTCCTCCTTCAGGGAGAAGGGGTGGAGTCAGCCTTGCCCAATCAAATGTACTGAGAATTTCAGAGTTTTCCCAAATGAAAACTGAGGTGCTGTTTCTGGGAAAGGGATATGTACGCAACGCAGGTCAAAGCATAAGTTGTTCACGGGTGCTTTCTTAGCGACATTCTTTACAATTTCAATTTCTTCCCTTCCACCCTCTCATCCTCCACCCCCACCATCATCATCAGTCTAGTCCATGTCCCGGTTTATAGAGACTGGATTTTATTTACTTGCCTCCAGGAAGTACAGCCAAAGTAACCAAAGTAACCCTGCCCCCTACCTAAGCCCAGCACTTAAAGAGGGCTCTGCTCTGTCCCTGATGCAATTAGACCTCTCCCCTCAGGGCAAGGAGTCCTTGGTACCAATACACCCTTGCTCAGACACTTGAGTCCTGGAATTTCTTCCCAGACAGCCTGGGACCACTTAGGGCCTCATGGGGCTTTTTTGGGTGGGAGTCTCCTTGCTCTGCTGCTCTCACTTGGCATGTTCTGGCGGCCCCTATCTGACACCTCATGCCCCCTACTCCCTTTTCCTTACAAGGGTCTATCAAAGTGTGGGGTGCCCATGCCCCTTAGAATGAGAAATTAATATGGAGATCCACCCTATGGGGAGAAGGTGTCCCTTTAAAGCTCTCTTCTGGCCCTCCTGATTTCCTCAAGGAGAAAGTTGGTTCTGAAACACTTTTAACACTTCTTAGGCATTTGCTAATCTTCCTGTTAAACAAAGTGGGATGAGGTCTCCATGCAGAACCTTAGCCAGCATCAGCATTTGGAGTGATGTTAACACCACCCTGCATTTGGGGGGTGTAATTACCTTTATTTTATGGAGACCTTGTCTTTAGGTCAAGAGGTTTTTCATTTATGGTAGTGATACAAAGTTACCTTTTAAAAATTGTGGTAACTTCCCTGGCCCATTTGACTCAGCAGTAGAACATTGCCTGAGGACCAAAAAATGGTGGGTTCAATTCCAGTCAAGGCCAGTACCTCGGTTGTGGTTTGGTCCAGGCCCTGGTCAGGGTCATGTGGGAGGCAACCAATCAAATCAATGTGTCTCTCACATCAATATTTCTCACTCTCTCTCTCTCCCCCCCTCCCTACCTCCCACTACCTGGAGATAAATCGAAAAATATCCTCGAGTGAGGCTTTAAAATAAACAAATAAATACTAAAAATAAAAATTGTGGTAACTGTTGTGGAATTGTGCATCTGAAACCTGTATATGTTTGTTAACCAGTGTCACCCCAATACTTCAATAAAAAGGGGAAAAAATTGTAGTAAAATACACACAACATAAAATTTACTATCTTCACCATTTTTAAGTGTACAGTTCAGTGGCATTAAATACATTCATGTGATTGTGCAACCATTACCACTATCTATCTCCAAGACTCTTTTCATCTTGTAAAACAAATACTCTATACTCATTAAACAACTTCCCATCCCCCCCTCTCTCAGTCCACCATTCTATTTTTTGTTTCTGTGAACTTCACTACAGGTACCTCATATAAATGGAATCACACAGTATTTGTCCTTTTGTGACTGGCTTATTTCATTTAGCACAATGTCCTTTTTCCTTTTTAAGGATGAATATATTCCATTTTGTGTATATACCACATTTTGTTTATCCATCTATCATTGAACACTTGGCTTACCTCCTTTTGCTATTGTGAATGCTATAAACATGAGTGTGCAAGTACCTCTTTGAGATGCTGATTTAAATTTTGCATAAATACCCAGAAGTGCGAATGCTAGATCCTATGGCAGTTCTACGTTTAATTTTTTGAGGAACCACCTTACCATTTTCCATAGTGGCTTACACCATTTTACATTCTCACCAACAGAACACAATGGTTGCAATTTCTCCACATCCATGCCAACACTTTGGACAAAAGTATCTTTTAAAACTTTTATTTCAGTTGTGCTTAGCTATGGCAGATCTGTGAAGGACACATGCTGAGGTCTGAATCAGATGCATGCTGGCCTGGGAGTGAGCTGCCTATGAGCCCTTCTCTCTGTGGGGCCATTTCTCTGACTCCACCACACATTAGTCTCTGCCACATTTGCTCCCAACTCCCAGCTCATAAGAAATCCCAGGTCACTAGCTGTAAGCCCCAGCTGAAATTCCCTTTCTCTGCAGAGCTCCAGTGGGCCCAGCAGCCAGCCTCCCAGCTCCAGTTCCTGGTAAGGGCTCCCTTCCTTCAGGAGTGGATTTGCCTTCTCTGAGAGCAATGTTGACCTTCCCCGGGCCATGAAGACTTGTAACTTCTGTGTAAAGCACACTATATAACACTTGTGGGGCTCCCCTGGGCAATGTTGGAAAACTCACAGGGTTGTCCAGAGTAGTCTCACTCTTCTTCCCCTTCCTACTCCTCCTCTTCCTGTTCCTTTTCTTTCTTAAAAAAAAATTTTTTTTCTTTATTGATTTTAGAGAGAGGAAGGGAGATGGAGAGAGAGATGGAAACATCGATGACAGAGAACATCGATTGGCCACCGCCTGCATGTCCCCCACCCCCTGGGGATCGGGCCTACAACCTGGGCATGTGCCCTGATCAGGAAATGAACCAACAACATTTTGGTTTGTGGGTCGATGCTCAACCACTAAGCCACACCAGTTGGGCATTCCTTTTCTTTCTTAAATGGCACATTATCCTCTCTGCTCCCAGCAAGGCACCTATCATATTATTTATGTGTTCCCTTTTTTCACTGCCCTTTACTCGCATTCCTACCCCACAGGCAACCATTCTAATGTGCTTAAAGTGTATCTTTTGTGTTCTTGCAAAATGTGTGCTATTTTTTTAGTGTATGTATACTTCTTAATTAGTAAACTGTATTGGTTATAAATGTTATTCTATTTCCCACTGTCTTCACCTAGCACTATTTTTAAAAATCTTTTCCTTACATTTAATCATTAATCATTTTTGTTACCACCAACTAGATCAAGGTGGAGAACATGACCAGCACCACTGGAAGCTTCCCTGTTTGCTTTGTATGGAATCCAGTGGAGATTATGCATTGGGTTTAATTATATCTTTTTCTAAAAAAAATTCAGACTTTGAGAGTATAGCTCCAGCTCCAGCAGATTACAAGAAGTTGATGGCAGTCCTGCAACTTTGAGCTTCTGTTCTACCCTGGACTTCATAAGAAAATGTATTGAGTTTTTAAATTATCTTGTCAATAATACAAATACAGGGGTGGGCAAAAGGTTTACAATTGTGAATACAGGAAACATAGGGTTTATTCTTGTATTATTATTTATTCTTGTATTATCTATTTCTCCATATGAACAGCAGTAAACCCACTTTTGCCTACCACATACTGCATCATACTTTTGCTTTGTAGACAGTTACTGCAACCTTAATCATTTTTATTTTATTTTATTTATTAATTTATTTTTGTTACAGATGTCTCTCCTTTTTTCCCCATTGACACCCTCCTCCCCATACCCCCACCCCATCCCCAGCTTTGTTGTCCATGTCCATCAGTTATGCGTGCATGCATATAAGTTCTGTGGTTTATCTCTTCCCTCAACCCCCTCCCCTCCTCTGAGGGTTGTCAGTCTATACCCAACTTCCACATTTCTGGGTCTATCCTATACCTCAGACTGTTATTTTCATTATATTCCACAAATAAATGAGCTCATGTGATATTTGTCTTTCTCTGCTTAGCTTGCTTCACTTAGCATAATACTCTCCAGATCCATCCATATCTCTCAAAAGAGAAGAGATCTTTCTTTCTTACAGCTGCTTAGTATTCCATTGTGTTTATGTACCACAACTTTTTTATCCATTTGTCTACGGATGGACATTTGGGCTGTTTCCAGATCTTAGCTATTGTAAATAGTGCTGCTATGAACATGGGAGTTTATATATTCTTTCTGATTGGTGTTTCAGGTTTTTAGGGTATATTCCTAGAACTGGGATCACTGGGTCAAATGGCAATTCAATTTTTAACTTTTTGAGGTAACACCATATTGTTTTCCATAGTGGCTGCACGAGTATTCATTGCCACCAGCAGTGTACTACAGTCCCCTTTTCTCCACACCCTTGCCAACACTTGTTTGATGATTTGTTGATGGCAGCCATTCTGGCAGGTGTGAGGTGATACCTCATTGTTGTTTTAATTTGCATCTCTCTGATGATTAGTGATGTTGAGCATTTCTTCATATGTCTCTTGGCCATTTGTATGTCCTGTTTGGAGAGGTGTCTATTTAGTTAGCTCCTCTGCCCATTTTTTAATTGGGTTATTTGTCTTTCTTTTGTTTAGTTTTATGAGCACTCTATATATTTTGGATATTAACCCCTTATCTGATGTATCACCGGCAGTAATGCTCTCTCCTATACAGTGGGTTCCCTT